CATCCCCCAGCCCCCTAACCAATTTTGTTGCCCTGTGCTGGACTCTCTCCAATTTGTCCACATCCTTTCTATAGTGGGGGGCCCAAAACTGGACACAGGACTCTAGATGTGGCCTCACCAGTGCTGAATAGAGGGGAAGAATCACTGCCCTTGGCCTGCTGGCAACGCTCCTACCAATGCAGCCCAGGATGCCGTTAGCCTTCTTGACAACAAGGGCACACTGCTGGCTCATATCTATCTTATTGTCCACTGTCCCCCCCAGGTCCTTTTCTGCAGAGCTGCTGCCCAGCCAGTCGCCCCCAGCCTACACCGGTGCAGGGGATTGTTCTGTCTTAAGTGCAGGACTTTGCACTTGTCCTTGTTGAACCTCATGAGATTCCTTTTGGCCCAGTCCTCCAATTTGTCCAGGTCTCTATGAATCCTAACCCTACCATCCAGCATATCTACTACTCCCCCCAGCTTGGTGTCACCTGCAGACTTGCTGAGAGCGCGCTCTGTGCCATCGTCCAGGTCACTGATGAAGGCATTGAACAAAACTGGCCCCTGGGGCACTGCACTTGATACTGGCTTCCAACTAGACATCGAACCATTGATAACTACTCTCTGAGCCCGACGCTCCGGCCAGTTTTCTATCCACTTTACAGTCCATTCATCCAGCCCGTACTTCCTTAACTTGCCTGCGACAATGTTGTGAGAGACTGTAACAAAAACCTTGCTAAAATCCAGGTACACCGCCTCCACTGGTCTCCCCGCATCCACAGAGCCAGTCGCCTCGTCGCAGAAGGCAATCGGGTTGGTCAGGCATGACTTGCCCCTGGTGAATCCATGCCGACTGCTCCTAATCACCTTCTTCCCCTCCAAGTGCTCAGAAATGGATTCCTTAATGATCTGCTCCATGATTTTTCCAGGGACCGAGATGAGGCTGACTGGTTTGTAGTTCCTTGGATCCTCCTTTTTCCCTTTCTTAAACATGGGTGCTATGTTTGCCCTTTTCCAATCATCCGGGACCTCCCTTGATCACCAAGAGTTTTCAAAGATGATGGCCAGCGGCTCTGCAACCACATCAGCCAACTCCTTCAGCACTCTCGGGTGCGTCCCATACAGCCCCATGGACTTGTAGACGTCCTTTTCTAAGTAGTCCCTAACCTGTTCTTTCACCACTGAGGGCTGCTCCCCTCCTCCCCAGACTGTGCTGCCTGGTGCAGTAGTCTGGGGGCTGACTTTGCCTGTGAAGACTGGAGCAAAAAAAGCATTGAGCACTTCAGCCTTTTCTGCACCCTCTGTCACCAGTTTGCCTCCCCCATTCAGTGCAGTCCTGCAATGAGGAATGCGGTGCTGCTATGCTGCAGCTGTACCAGCGAGTGGGGTCTTCTTAACAGGAGAGCACAAATGATGCTCACCCCGTCTCCTTTTCTTGCTGGGACAGAGGACAGTGGCATCATCCTCACCTCAGCTAGCTCCGCTTGCTCTGGAACATCCATCACCCTGTGCCTTCGGATTGACTGCAGGCCGTGTGATGCTCTCTCCGTGAGCCACGTGACTGTGTGGATGGATGGCTATCCCATGGGGCAGCAGTATGGGGTGAAGTAGCCAGCCATGAGCCAGGCCTTTATTTCGTGAAGGCTGCATGTGAGATGGGAGAGAGATTTTGCCTCATTCACAGTATGGCGTTACTGTACGATGTGATACAAGGTGCCTGAGTTTTCTGCATATTCTGCTAGACATATTTGAATATGCAATTTCTCATCCACCTGTAATAGAGGAGTTTGGTCTATAAGGTATACAGGACTTGACCCTGCATCCTTGCAGCCAGTAGGAGCTGTGCCATGAACTTTGAAGACTTTTGGAGCAACCCTGGAGTTGAGCAGCTTCTAAAGCCCATTCCTGAATTGGGGTCTGAGCCCTCCCTTAGCAGTGCCAGCACAACACACTGTGGCTGGACCTCACAGCCATGTGGGGACAGAAACCCAAGGCATAGAGCAGCTAAGGCCTGATCCAAAGTGCAGCCAAGTCAACAGAAGTCTTTCCTATGAGATAAGTGGGCTTTGGTATGGGTCCTAAAGCCTCTGTTTCTGAGCTAACAGTGTCACAACTAGGGTTGCCAACCCTCTAGGATTGCTTTGGAGTCTCCAGGAATTAGGTATAAATCTCTAGGAGACTGCTGAGAGTCACCCAGGAGATAAATGATAGGGCATGCATTAAAATAAATAATATATATTGAATCTGATTTATACAGTAGTCCAGTGGGGTTTTAAAATGTAATAGTAATGTGCACGTGCCTTCTTGCCGTAAAGTCTGCGCACCGTAATTAATGTCATTACGACACGTGATGAAACCTCCCAGAACAGAGTTGGCAACCCTAGTCCCAACTTTGCAGGCCATTGTGGTGTCCAGGGCTGTAGCATCCACTAGAGGAAACATTCCCCGTGCATCCCAGCGGCCTCGGTTCACGACCCACACTCTGCTCACCTCCTGTCCTCTTCTCCTTCATCAGACAGGTCACCAAATCCGACGGGCAGGCTCTCGCTGCCAAGTATGGGTGCTTGCTTTATGAAGTCTCCGCCTGCCTGGATTTCGAATCTGTGCAGCACGTGTTCCACGAAGCCGTGCGGGAGATGAGGCGGGAGATGGAGAAGAGCCTGTCGGTCCGACCCCTGTTCATCACTGAGGAGAGGCCATGCCTGCACATGGTGACACCAACGCCCGTGGCCTCCAAACACGGCCTGGCCAGCTGCACGTTCAACACGCTCTCCACGGTCAACTACAAAGAGATTCCCTCTGTTGCACAAGCCAAGCTGGTCACGGTGAAATCTTCCCGGGCCCAGAGCAAGAGGAAAGCTCCCACATTGACCTTATTGAAAGGCTTTAAAATCTTTTAAGGCTTGACCCTACTGGCCCTGACTGCTTCAGTGCTTGAGGGAAAGCAGCAGCCACTGGAGTTTGGGGACCTGGAGAGCTGTTCTCCGAGTACAGCTGTGGCGTCTCAACCAGCCTGCAAGGGGCTGTTTTGGGGCAACAGTGGCTGACTGCCTGGCATTAGTGGCTGACCACAATACACATGGACTTAGTTGTACACAAAGCACTTTCTTAGGATGCAATGATTCAGGCCCAGGACGGAGTGCAGAAGACCCTGCAACTTGGTCCTTTCTCTCTGAACGACTGCCTCTTTGTTCATTCCCTGCAGCTTACTACGGACATGGCATTTGCACACTGCTCCTATCATTTGCACTGGGTGTGAGTGTCGCTATTGGCTATAGCAGAAGCAGGACGTCTGTATTTTATATGTGTACATATGCATATATATATATATTTTGGAAACCTATGTTATATGCGCTGTCTACAGGATGAGAAGTGGACTATTCTTGCCCTGGCCGTGAGTTGAATACATTTTGCCTTTTCCTCTGTCAAAGCCACATCCTGTCCTTCTAAAGAAAATTATCACTGTGTCTTGAAAAATCAGCTCTCGTTAATGCACGCTAGAGGATTAGCTAAAACGGGCAACATATGTAATAGCTGAGCCCAGAGTAAAGTCTGTGCTAGTGCCGATGAACCGAGTGGCATGGCAGTTCAGGGTGGCATTTGGTTCGTGCTGTCACTGTTGAAGTCTTGCCGTGGGCCGGCAGAAGGAATCTGGGGGAGGCCGAGCAGACGGAAGTCGGAGTTAAGCTTGCTCCGGGTACGTGAACTCTGTGTTTCCGTCTTTACCAATATTAGGGTGATTTTTGCAGGAGATTTGGAAGCTTTTTTGTAACGGGGAATTTTTCAGCTTTTCCATGAATGGCAATATTCTTTGCAGGTTTTCCCCCTAAAGTTACTAACATATCAATTTACAGCTTTGATTCCCTCTTAGCTGGATGGATTTATATGGAAATTCAGATGTCAGTCCAGTTCGACTTCCACTGGAATCAACTGAGAAATTCCCGATTTCTGTGAGAGCAGGGGCAGGCCCCTGGCTCAGAGAGTAGCATAACTAGAGCCGGGTAAGGGAGGCGCTGGCCCCAGGCACCGATTCAGAAGGGCTGTCGCAGCAGCAGCAGCAGCCAGGGAGTCTGTGCTGCTTGGCACTCCCTGCTCTTCTGCCCAGGGCACCAAAAATGCTAAAAATGCCTCTGGTTCAGACAGTCCCAAATCCCATATTGGGCAATATGCTGCAGCGCTTGTGCAGATGAAAGTACCGATTGCATTACATGCCGCGAACACCAGCAAAGTGTTGATACCAAGCGTCCCCAGGAAGAGAAATGTCATGTAATGACCACAGGGCCCTCTAGTGGAAACGGGGCACAGGGCGACTCATCTGTGTTCCCGTGAAAGCACGACTGTCAGCTAAAACCAAAGTGTTGGAGAGTCGTTGTTGTGATGGTCCAGGCAATACGAGAAGCCAGGAATTGTTGGCGATATCTTGTATTGGACCAGCTGTCTTCAGATGACTTTGTGCCTGAAAGCTTGTCTAGCATCTCTGCCAAACTTCCAGTCAAAGTTATTACCAAAAAACCCCCTTTTCCTTCTCAGATTTAAAATCCAGAAACTTTAGAGAGGGTGACATGTATCAACGGCCTACTCAAGATGCGAACAAGGAAGGTGGCATGCATATGAACGGCCTCAGCATTTCACTACTTAAGCAATATATCAAAAGAGGGTTTTAAAAAAAAATAAATCCCAATGCAAAATAAATGATTTGGACTGTATTGAAAGCAGAAAGCTTCAGATAATATAAAAATGTTGTCTATACATTGAAATAAAGTGTACCAAAAATACATAATTTGTAAGGGTGGTTTTTTTTTTTTACAATGCAATGTTCTTTTGCAAAGACTTTGAAAGCAAAAAGACTCCTTGAGCAGGACACTTCATGCTTTTGGTCATAGGATTAATGTATTTACCATGTGTCTTAAGTTATTGGATGGTGTTTCCCTGCTATCTGTGCAGAACAGTGAATAAATCCTGGTGAAGGACAGCGTGTACAGTAAACAGGCCAGTTTCCTTAGGAAAGATAGTGTGTTTTATTGACTTTTGGGGGGTATTTTTATATACAGTTCGGGACAGTAACTGCTCTGCTGCTGTCTGGAATTGCACGCGTCTGCAGAGTAGAGTCGCATATATCCAGTTATACAATGTGAACCCCTTTGGACAATATGCTGATAAAGGCAACTTGAATAATTTGAGCTCCTCTGCTTAGCTGCACCATTTTCTCGGGGATTCTTCCCAGAGTTGTTGTGAAAGGCACATTGCTCGGCTGACTACAGTAAAAGCCTCCCACCTCCCCTTTCTGGCTTGGCTTCATGCAATGGAGGCAGGTGACATCTGGGACAGGGTGGGCAAAACTGGCATGTTGAAGTATCCCTGGAGCCGGCTGACAACAGAGAGCAAAGATCAGGCTGTATGGCAATCAAAACCAGGGGGGAAAGGTGTGGGTCAGCCTGTATCTGAGCCTAGAGCTGTTATGCTGAGGAACCTCCTCTGCTCTCCGTTTTGTTCTGTTCAATGCACTGTGCTGGCTTTCAAGGTCAATTGAGATGCACGATACTTCTGAAATGGCCTTCTAGGGTTGAGCTGTTTCCGCGTTGACTGCGCCCGCTCTCACACATCCTCAGACTTGTCTGCGTACAGAGCTGTAACCGTCCCATCCCTCCACTGCACCAGCACGTCTCCAGGCTTCTGCTCTTTCGGAAGCAAATCCTGGGTTAAAGGGTTCAAGTCGCTCTGTTCCATCACAGGCATGAAGACATGCTTGACTTCTGTTTCTGCTGACAGCGTGGCTTCTGCAGCTTTTTTATACAGGAGGATCTTCCTCTTCCTAGGGGGAAGAAATAAAAGAGATGTGAGAGGTGATGGGAGGCCCGGGGCAGCCCCTTTGTGGCAGTAAGACTTCCACCAGGGGTACATTGCATTCCTTCAAGTCCTCTGGTCTGGGAACATGAGTTGATTAAGCATAGGAAACTCCAGATGCATTGTGTTGTGCGAGTGGGTGCTACTTCCAGTTCCCAGTTTCACGACTGGCGCTTCCAGGGGCTGCATGGCCAATCTCAGGGGGTGCACGTGCACCTGCATACACCCGCTATACGTTGCCAATGCCACATACACACCCACAGCCCCCCACACCTCACAAATAACTCCCTCCCCTCCTTCAAAAATAGCATTTCATGATTTACATTCCAAATCTCTTGATTTTTAAGAGTTTGTCTCATGATTTTTGACATGGTGGGGTTGGCAGCAATACTGCAGCATGGGGTTTTTTTCTTTGCAGAGGAGGAGGAAGGATAGCACAGAGCGTGGTGCAAGGCCTGGGGCTGCTTCCCTGCCGGCCGCATCCAGTACCTATGTTCTAGCACAGCAGAGGGAAGTGGGAGCTGTCAGTGCAGAAGAGCATAGACTAGGAGGGACAAGTCCTGCCCTGATTAAAAAGAGCACCGAGCTGTGGGTAAGGCCTCAGCTATAATGTGCCTCAATAATGAGAGGTATTGCTGCATGAACACCTCACCAGCCTTCTTTACTGTCTGTCCTCAGAAGCCCAGTGTTGGAGCAGAATTGCAGAGATCATCAAAGCCACTTGCCTTTAAACAGCACTTAGGAAACACAGATGAGGGAAGGTGGACATGCAAAGTGTTAAGTCTTATTATGGTTTCTTTGACTGCCACGTCTTTTTTGGCCCACTGCTCCAATTGTTTCTCTACAGACCACTCGGTGACCATCAGAAAAAAACGTTCAGCCATTACAGGTGCCTACCAGCTTCAAACTACCAACCGGGTGGTGAAGGACAAATATAGGGTAGCTTTGAGAGTGGCTCTGACTTGGTGCAGATATACAACAGCATTCATTTGTGTTCTCTTCTTCTCAAAGCCAATCATAATAGGAATGCTGTTTTTTAAAATACAGTGTTTTCACAAAAATATCCAGGAGCTATGCCCTACGCCGCTGATTTTCAACCAGGATGCCAGGACAGCCTTTGAAGGGTGCCTCTGGGAGAGAGGAGGTAAGCGGAAGAGGTGGTAAGTGAGATAAATGCAGACTCCCCCGAGGAGATAAGGGTAGGCTTTTCCCTTTCAGCAGCTCTCCTCTGCTCACTGGTTCTTCCCTGCTGGCTACTTCTCCTTCCTGGCCCCTCTTCAAGCAGGGAAGCACTGTAATAAATACATTAGCTTTGGACATGGGGTACAACTCAATTCACAAAAGGTTTGGAGGGGGTGCCTCGAGGCTAAAAAAGGCTGGGTGATTGTGTCAGGGAAGAGGGGCATGAAGACAGCCTCCAGCGTGTTTGTGCATAAGTATCTTCCCCCTCACTGCTTTTAAGTATAACTCATTTTCCAGCATTGGCGACACATAGGGGGTGCACGTGCACCTGCTGGTCAGCACTTGCCACCCCCCCACCGTCGTCGACAGCGCTGTGGCCGCCTGCGGGAGCTCGCCGTGGCCCGCCTCCCCC